AATCGAAATATTGGTGAATTTTCATAAATTAAAGTACAACTTTTAATTAATTGTTTCATACTGTTTCATTTCAAAAATACACAAGCCGTTTTTTCTTCATAACTATTTGCCTCGATTTGTTTTTTATAATTGCTTTTTCATTTTTAATTTCAAGAATTAATCCGTTTTCGCATGCTTTTGTTAATGATGTAGAATTAATGCTAATAGCGGAACAAACATTACTTTTTTAAATTCTGTTTCACAAAATTTTGTATTTAATAAGACTTTTATTTCCTAGTTTTACTTTTTCAGAAAAAGTTTCTGTAGTTGTAAATAAATTTTTGTTGCAGCACGTATAGCTTGTAGTTTCACAAGATATCAAATATCCACATGTTTGGGTTGAGCTACATAGCTGCTAAATGTGCATTAATATTGAACATAATAGAAGAAATGCCCTATCCAAATATGTGGATATTTGTAGTTCCATTATGAAATTTGTACATGTTTGGATTGAGCTATAAAGCTGCTAAATATGCATTAATATTTAGATAGAAAATGTTGTATTTTATCTTTTAGATCGTTGGCGTTCACGTTCTTTTCAATTTGACGCATAATGGGTCCTTTTCTACAAATGTAGCGATTAAGTCAACTGCAAGGAACTTAGCTGCGATTGAATCGACTTTGACTGACTGGGTTGATATTTACTATTTTAAGAATGCTCATTTGACACCATCACTTTTCATTCAAATGACTTTTTTTTACATTCTACATCCACCAATTTGGTTTTAAGAATATAGACACTTATAAAACTTGAAAACAATATATACCGGCTAACTTGAAAGTAATATAGTTACAGAAATTGATCTTGAATTTCGATTTTGCTTTCTAATTCAGCTAATTTATATGTAATTTCAAAAAAATTTTATATGACATGCCATATCTTAATTTTCAGATATCTTTAGACTAATAAATCGTTTAAAGAGTGAAACTTTATACGCTGGATCCTTAGATTGATATGCCCTTTATAGCATTTCCCAAGCTTGCTTTGAGGTGCAGTTTTTTACATGAATTATCTGGGATGATTCTACACCAAATAAAATTGTCGCTAAACCTTTGTAATCCTTTGCAACTTATCTCGTCAGCTGGTCTACGGCTTCCGATGGTGCTAAACTGCCATCTTCGCATTTTCAAATTTCACTATGGCTTAGTATCGATTTCATCTATACATTTTCTTTTACTTAGAAGGAAAAAAGAAATACAAAGTGAAAAGGACATAAGTGTATGTAAACAATTTCATATGAAATAGTTTATAAATTAAACAATAATGATGGTAACGTTTTGTAAGTTCCAACCAACCCAAAATCTGATCACATTGCCTTATTATCACAAATTGGTTCACGTGCGGCGAATAAGTCTTAGCCAAACAATAACTTATTTTATATTAACAGGAAAAAATCAGTTCAGGGACTTAATTATTGTCAAAATTTTAATTCACAGAACTGTAAAACTGTTTGTTAAGATTTTGTATCTAAAACAAAACTTAAGTTTGCATCTAAAACAAAATCAGAAGCACAACAAATCATAATTCATACACATACACAAACACTTATCTTAAAATCAGAGTTTCTTTGGCTTTCTTGGTCATTTTTATTTTTATATTTTTTTATTGCCGAAGACAAGGGCAAAGGAATTCCACGCTCCAGCCACCGCGGTCTGTCGTGGCTTATTGAAGCCCACCCATATCCCACTTAAACTACCATAGCACAAAAAAATACCCGCAGACATAGCTCAGGAAGTTTGACATGACTTCTGTCGCATTGAGAAAGTTCCGATCAAAGCATTTGCAACTTCTGATAGCCCGAGTAAAGTAAACACACAGAATTGGTATGGCTATCTCCTCGACATCCCGGCAGAACCTACACAAAAGCGAGTCCAATTTACCCATTTTATATAGAACCTGATTTCGGTCCATTCCAAGCTGTCTTTAATGGCGGGAATTGATAGTCCACAGAAATGAAAGGGTCGAAGCAAATGGGCGTTACTCTGTTTATTGCAAAATCTGCCTTTAATGGCAGCTATTACCTGAGCCGATAGAGGTGCCAAAAGTGCCGCCGACTGATTGAGAGCATATAGATGGTGAGATTTTTATATCTCCTTTCTAAGTTGCCACTCAGGCATATTTCAGTTGCATGTATTTCAGCTTGTAACACCGAGCTCGCACTTATCCGTATGTCTGGCCGCTCTCCATACGCACCCGAGTCCGTTTTGGAGCCATCAGCGTACCGAACACTAGAACCACTCCGAAAAACAAAGCAACCCTGTCCTCACTTGCGTCGATCAGGACTATCTCGTATCGCTGATTGAAGTCATATCGCGGGAGGCAGACGGAAGAGGTGGACACCCCCAGAATTAGGTCGCTCTCGACAAAAGCCACATGAGTGTCTTGGGGCAATTTTTTACCTGCGATATCATCACAAGCTGGTGGTCGAGTGCGTAAGCGACAGGGAATTCTCTGACCGTTTGCTTCGCGAAGCATTTCAGAGCCCCAACTGTGACAGCTGCCACCTAGTGCTCATTAAACCTCCATGACGGTGACAAATGGGCAACTGAACAGACTTCAGACCAATTAATGAGCGCACTCTTGGGCTGAAAACCTCATACTGTATATATTGGAATCAACCAGGAAAAATGGCAGAGATAGTGGATGAAACATTAAAGCAAACATTATTCTATTTATTACAGTAGTGATGAGAGATCTAGATTATATGCAACTGGTTTTTATGTGGAAAAGAAAACACGGAATCACGTAATATTTTTCGATCCTGTTAGTGATAGAGTCTGTGTGCTGAAAGTAAAAGGGAAATTCCAAAATGTTACACTAATTTCGCTGCATGCAACAACTGAAGAAAGTAATGATGATGAGAAAGATATCTTTTATGATGAGCTATCTAGGCAATGTGATAAAGTCGACCACAACTACTAAAATCTCATGTCTGGATATGAGATTTTAGTAGTTGTGGTCGACTACAATGCTAAGATTGACAAAGAAGATAGTGTTAAGCAGGAGTCTGGATTACATTTTCTTCATCAGTATACCAGTGAAAATGAAATACTAGAAAAATATTGCACTAGAAAATAATTTATGGATCAGTAGTGTATCTCCAATTTATTCCAGCATAAACAAATACATAAGCACGTCGGAAAAATACCTGGCGGAAGAGGTGCAAACCAATCGACCACGTTCTAATCGATGAAAGGCATAAATCCACCATTACGTAAAATCGTGTAGGGGAGCAAATTAAGACTCTGATCACTTTTTTGTTAAGCTGAGAATATGGAAAAGGATTTCTATGATAAATTCAAGGAATCTATTTAAGTGTATCAAGTGGAATACATAAAAATTGAAAGAGGAAAATATAAAGGCTCAGTAACAATATGCAGGAACTTAATAGAGGAAACGACAAAAGAGGCTTCAACAGAGGCTCTGTGACATCAGCCAAGAGAAAACAATAATTACTGGTACGACGCAGAGTGCGAAAGACTCAATGATCGTAAACATGAAGCGTAGAAAAAGTATATAAGTAATGTAAGCATGGAAGAAGTATATAACAGGAGCTGGAAGTAGTCGATTAAATTATGAAAAGAAAAAACGAAAAGAAGTTAATCATAAGAATGAAAAAAAGAGATGAGCTTAATAACAAAACTAGTCGTGTGTGCTTGCATTGCAAGCCTTGCAAGTATTATGCCTGTAGTTTTAAAATTGTGTTCCATTTTGTGGCTGAGATATTTTAAGTTTACTTTATTTCTTCAAAAACACACCCGTAATATAGATACATATAGATATGCTTTTTTCTAATAAATAATAAGATAAAACCTAAAATAGGAAAAGTTCTGAAAAATAATTACCAAAAAATATATAATTAAGCAAATAATTAATTCCTTTGAGATCTAATACCTTTGAGTAATTTATTTTAGAACCTCGATTTGAGTTATATCGCATAAAATCTTAAAATACTTTTTACAATAAGCACTTTAAGAGATAAATTACTATATACGCATAAAATAATTCGCCATTAAAATGCATGCATGTGTGTATTTGGAGTTTTAATACATGCGAATAAAATGCGTGTTTGTGAAATGAGTTACCACCAATGCTAACGTATATAGGGTAATGCATATAGCATACGATTTCTATGCAAAAAGTCCCAGGTTCGAACCCTGAAAAATGCGATTTGCCAGATGAACTTTTTTTTATTGATAATTAAAACTTTACAATTTTCTTAAGAAAGTGTTCACTTTTTGTTATAACTCACACTTCCAAAAATGAATTCATATACAATATTAAAATACTACCAAAAGTAAGTAAAAAATTACCCCTAGAGGATGTAGTACCATTTTGTAAAAAACGATTACAAAGCATCTTGGGAGGGGGTGAAGGGGGAGGGCGGGTGGAATTCTTGCTTTTTCTGGGACCCTAGAGGCAAAACTCTATCTTATGCCTTTTGTCCCATGTCTCTAGCCCTTCTAGAAGTACCCGTACTTTTTACCATCTGAGAAGTAGCTATATACTTACGTATTTCAAAAGGTTGCGCATAAAAATTTGCTCTTTTTTTACCTGTGGAATTTTTTCTTTATTCAAAATTCTTTTTTTAAATTTTTTTTGTTTTAAAGCTTTTATTATTATTATTATGATTATCATTTCCACTGGCGGTCACTTACGAACTAACTACTTAAAAATTATCCACGATTTTATTTCCAATACTATTTTTTATTAAAAGTGAAAATTGCTTGATTGGCAATTTTCACTTATTATTTAAAATTTATTATTCTAATAAAAATGTTTTTTTTTTATTTTTTTTATAATTACTTGCGCAATGCTAGTGTCTCATTACAATTAAATTAAAATTTAGGTAGTTCGATGAATTGCAAATGGATATTACATAACGTATTACGTTAAAAGAAAAAGTTGTCATTTATTAATCAAAAATAACAACAAGTAAATGTTAAAGTAAAGGTTTTATTTATTGAAACGGTAGAGGGCAATCTTTATTTGAATTTATTGATGAATGCCCGGGCAATTCTGTTTTACTCAGCGTGTCATGCAGAGTAAAACATGGTGGTGACGTAACACCTCCGCCCTTAAGATCCGACTCCGTGCGGATTTTGTTAAAAACAACATTTAGCTTGGGTTTTGAAGTGTTGAGGTGAAATTTGAAATAAATAACGAAAATAAAAATTAAAATTAAAACTACTACTATAATACAATCGGTCCCAACACTCGTGTACCACTTCACTGTGTGAGAGTATTCCAATTGTTCTATTATTTCGGTATTATTAATGTGTTTGAGGTATAGTTCTTCTAAGTTAAATTCCGTTTTTATCCTTTCGATCGTTATGTCGCGTTCTATATACGGTAATATCTTGGCTGAATATTCTTTTTGATAACTTTCCTGCATAAAATTATCAATAGCAACTTTGCAATTCACGAACTTTACAATATTATTCCCTTTTATTTTAAATTCGTTTTGTTGTTCACAATTATTAATTAATAAGGTTTCTTCTAAATTTTTTGTTACAATTACATTGTCTGTTACTGGAAAAATATCGCTAGTTAAATTTTTCAAGTAATTACATTTCATTTTTTTTATGTTTAGTAAGTTTGCTATACAACTATCATCAAAGCTTTTTAGATCTGTTTTTGTTACAATTTTTTTTTCAGTATCTTCAAAAACACTTTGCTTGCAAGTAATTATTTTATTTATTTTGGTATCTAATTCTAAGCTATTATTTTTATTTGGAATTTTTACAATTAAGGTTTTAAAACAAATTTCTTGTGAAAAAATTGGAACTGAAAGCGTAAAAATAATATTATTTTCTTTAAATAAAACTGCATTTTTTATAAATGGTAACATTTCAATAGTAATATTCAAATATTTAATTTCCTCATAACTGAGAATATTTTTTGATAATATTTCAAGTCTGCTAGCTAATATAATTTCTTTAAAATTTTTTATTTGATTTAATACAGTATTAATATTCTCATTTAACTCTAATTTAATGCTTAACAATTCCAATTTTAAATCAATTTTTGTTATATCATTCTTTAACTCATCAATACTTTCTTTAATTTTACTTTGAACACTATTAATATGATCTGTTATGTTTTGGATTTGATCCGATAATTTTGTATTAATGTAGACTTGTTGGTTTAAATTTCTAGTGATTTTGTCATTATTGCCTTTTAATATGTCGAAATGTTGCTCTATTTCTATTCTATCATCGTCGTCCATCACCCCGGCTAAAATGTGAAGGCCGCTACCGACAAAATTAAACAAACCTCTTTTATTTACGTGATAAGGAATTAGTGTCATAAATTCTTGTTTTAAATGTTCAAAATTGTGTAAAAGATTAGTAGGTATTTCTGTCTTCTTATGTAGGTGGATAATATTAGTCTGAATTTTGTTGATAGTTTCTTCATATAAATTTAAATCTACGATATGCAATATTTTTTCGAAATTTCTTACAATTCTTAATTCGGAATCTTGTAATAAGATATAACCATTTCCAGCTTGTAATTCGTTAATTTCGATTTGTGAACAATTAATGAGAGTTATGTTGCAAAACACAATTACAATAAAAATAAGAGCTGAAATAGTACAAAATCATTTCAGCAAGAATTTATGTGTGATGTCATATGATTAAGTAAAAATTTTGTTGTTAATTATTCAAAGGGTTAATAAGTTTTAATTTTTTATCGAATTAGTGCTGACATAAGCTAAAATGGTTTTATAAAGAGTTCAGAATCTTTTTATTGTGTTATTTGTTTTTTTTTTTTTTTTTTTTTTTTTTGTATTATAAAAAAAAATTTCAAGGTTGTTGTTAGTATTATTAGTACTGACAGATTCTTATTTAGTTATTAAGATTAGATGTGAGAAAAAAAAAATTTTATGATAAGATTATGATGCATAAATTTATTTGTATTTAATAAAAGTAACGAGACTTATTGTATAAAAATGTAACGAAAGTATTTGAAAATCAAACCTAAGATTTTGTGAAGTTTGCTAAAAATCATATGGTATTTTGAAGTCGCGCGATTTGTCAGGTTAAAAAAAATATTTTTCTTTTCTTCATAATAGAAGAATCTATTTTTAATTTTGGAACTTAAGTTTTTTTCTGAATTGATTCAAATAACGAGGATAGTTTTCGTTATTAATTTTAAAATGAGATTCACTTTCTTTCTCGATTTGGATCCTTTTATGAAGAGGTTGCAATTTGGTAATTCTATTAAGTTTAAGATAAGTACATGCTTTTTCTTTTTTTCGTTTTTTGTTCATAGTATTAATTTTTTTGGTTTTAGATGTTAATAGTTTTTCGTGGATGGCAGGATAATCTGTAGTTTTTACGCTACCGTTTATGAAATCAATAGGTTTTCTACCTGTAGAGGAATGGATTGTTTCATTGTAAGTTTTAACACTTTTTATAACTGGATCTTCGTCCATAGGTAAATTTTCTTCCTTTTGTATTGCGTATAAAATTCTGATATGTTCATTTAACGTATTGTGGAATCTTTCGATATCCGCATTACCCGAGTGGTTATTGGGTGTTGTAAAATGTACCGCAATTCCTTCATTTTCTAAAAAGTTTTTGAAATTTAAACTGTTAAAGCCCTTTTCCTGATCTGTTATAATTTTTTTAGGTTTGCCAGAAGATGAGATGTATTGCATAAAGGCATTTTTTAAATCTATCCAATTTCTGGACTTAATTGGTATTACATGTGCATGTTTCGAGAATTTGTCAATTACTGTTAGGTAAGCATTTCCTTTGCTTTTAAACCAAATATCAAGGTGGATTATTTCTAGTGGTTTGTGAGGAGTCTCAGTAATTTTTAGTGGTAGATTTAAGGGTTTCCTTTCATATTTTGCTACATTGCAAATGTGGCAATTATTGAGTAATTTTTGAATTTCTTGTTTCAATTTTGGATAATAATATTTATTTTTTAAGCTTTGATAAACATTATTCATACCTCTGTGATTTGTTTTTTGGTGTTGATCAAGAATTAGCTCTTGCAATTCATATCGACATAAAATGTCTTCAAGTAAAAACGAACACTTATTTAATTTTAACGATTTATTTTTTGAAAAATGCTTTAAGTAAACATTTCGAAATTCATTGTAAGTTGGGAGGTCATCAATCATTATACCAATTATTCCCTTAGGTGGTATATGATGTTTTAAGATGTTAATCATGAAATTTTCATCCGGTTTAGGATGGTAAAATATTTTTCTCGTTCTATCGTAGACCTTTTTTACTCTAGTTTGAATGTGGGGCCCAATGTTAATAATAATTTGTGTTTTGTACACATTTAGAGGTAATTCAGAAATAGGGATGTATTCTGTACTATCCTCTTGCGCAGAATGAATAGTAGCATCAGTTGAGCGTATTTCCACATCATCCAAATAATTTTCATGTGGACTATTATTTGAATTAGTTTCCACGTTTTCATTAGTGTCTATAGTCGCGTGTGCAGAACTGATTTCATCTACTTCAATATCGTTAGTTAAATTGTTACGTGCCAAAAATATTTCGTTTTGAAATATTGCAGTATTTTGTAGAGGTACAGGAACGCAATAATCCTTTTCTTCACTTTCATTGAAGCATAAAGGGATTTCGTTACCTGTATTCAATTTTAAAATTCTATTTTTATAACTAATTTCAGCTTCGAACGGCAATAGAATATTATTGCCTATAAGCCCATCGAATTTATCATGGAATTTTAATTCTAAGAATTCTATTTTTTTATTTGAATCAAATTCAATAAAACTATCTATTGTAACTTTATTTCTACATTCTATTAAATTGGTTAATGTTTTTACATTGATTGGTTTTATTTCGGATTTGTAAATAGGATTACAAATACCTGTGTTGATGATGCTCATTGAAGCACCAGAATCTATTAAAAATATTAAAGGTCTTCCCCTTGATTGAACTTTTATATAAGGAAGCTCCGATGTTTTTTCGAGGCTTGCGAGTGAAAAATTTTCTATTTCAAAGTTTCTCTTCGATTTACTAACTTCTAAGTTGTTTACTCTACGCGTGGTACTCGTATCGACCTCCATTGGTTCGATGCGTTGAGTACCATGCGAGTTAAAATTAGAATTTGTTCTATTAAAACTATGATTATTTCTGTTATTAGTACTACTATTACTAATCTGATTAGTTCTACTACTTTGATTAAAATTATTATTTTGCGAATTTTGATTAGTATAATTATTATTTAAAGAATGATTATTTCTAATGATGTTATTATAATTTCTAGTTTGGTTAGTATTATTAGAATTATTGTAATTGGAATGGTTTTTTCTGCAAGAATAATTTTCGTTAGTAGGCTTATAAAAGTTTTGTGTACTAGGTTTGTTGAAATTTGTTTTATTTTTAAAAGGACTATAAAATGCATAGTTGCTTTCGTGCAAAATATCCATGGCTTGTTCGATTGTAGCCGGATTTCTGCAATATAAAATAGAACGCATTGGTTCCGGTAGCTTGTCTTTAAAAATATTTAAAGCAGTTTCGATATTCGTGGCAACTGTAAAAACGGAATTAGGATCAGTCTTTACCCTATTATTAAGTTGCCTTAATATCTTTTTTATTTTATTGAACAAGTCTACACTATGAGTATCAAAAGTGACTGCTCTCAATTCATCATAAATTTGTAAAGCAGTTCTACTGTCACTAAAATTATTAATTAAAACGGATTTCATATCAGACCAATTTTTTATATTGTTATTTATTTCTAACACTTCCCTAGCATTACCTACTAATTTACTTTTAACTTTATTTAACAAAATTTTTGACTACTCGTGTCATATTTTAATATTAAAGGACAAATATCGTCCACTAATTCTAAAAAAGTATAAAGTTCCTCACCTTTACCGTTAAATTCTGGCAAATTTTGAATGTACTGCATCGGGTCGATTTCCAGATGTAAGGTTGGAGTGGGTGGAGCAGCTTGAAACGGTGAAGTACCTGAAGTGGCTGAAGTAGCTGAGGTAGCTGAAAACGCTGGAACGGTTGATGTAGATGGAACGACTGGATTTGCGTCGTTAGTTGCCATATTTAAAATTTTTTGATATCTCTGCTCGAATCTTTTTTCTTTTCTAGATGCCACTTTTGATTTATTAAAAGTAGTTTTTAAAGTTCTTTTTTTTTTCAAACTTTAATGCAGTTATTTTTAATTTCAGATTTTTATTTTATTTAGGATGACTGTTATTTATTTATCTTAATTTTATTATTAAATAATATTATTTGTTTTGTTTTTAGATCACTTTAAAGTTTTTGTTTTTCTGTAGATATTAGTTTAAATTTTATTTTATTTGGATAATACTTATTTTACTTTTATTTGAATAGTTGACTTTCGGTTTTCACTTTCCAAGATCAAAATTTCAAGAAAAAATTTTTTTAGTTTCGAAAATTTTCTTTTATTGTTTTTAAATTTACTTGGAAAATTTTTTTTTTGAGTTCTATGACTGTTTTCAAGGCACAAATTTTTTGTTTGCGAATCTTTTTTTTTCTTTTTGGATCTTTGCGATTAAGATCCTCTACCGAACTGCGCCACTTACGTATTTCAAAAGGTTGCGCATAAAAATTTGCTCTTTTTTTACCTGTGGAATTTTTTCTTTATTCAAAATTCTTTTTTTAAATTTTTTTTGTTTTAAAGCTTTTATTATTATTATTATGATTATCATTTCCACTGGCGGTCACTTACGAACTAACTACTTAAAAATTATCCACGATTTTATTTCCAATACTATTTTTTATTAAAAGTGAAAATTGCTTGATTGGCAATTTTCACTTATTATTTAAAATTTATTATTCTAATAAAAATGTTTTTTTTTTATTTTTTTTATAATTACTTGCGCAATGCTAGTGTCTCATTACAATTAAATTAAAATTTAGGTAGTTCGATGAATTGCAAATGGATATTACATAACGTATTACGTTAAAAGAAAAAGTTGTCATTTATTAATCAAAAATAACAACAAGTAAATGTTAAAGTAAAGGTTTTATTTATTGAAACGGTAGAGGGCAATCTTTATTTGAATTTATTGATGAATGCCCGGGCAATTCTGTTTTACTCAGCGTGTCATGCAGAGTAAAACATGGTGGTGACGTAACAATATATATATAATGTGAAATAGGATGGTTTTTGAAGAGTTATACGAAATATGAATAAAATATAGAATTATAAAGGGAAATTCAAGGTACTGCGTAGCCTAGTAGGTAGCGTGGTAGTCTGATAGCCAGAAGGTTATTGGATCAATGCTTGCCTGGATGGTGTTCATATTTTTCTTTTTTTGGATTATTTTAAAAATTTTTTTTATTTTGTTTAAATTTTTTGTTTTATTTTTTTTAATATATAACAGATAAATATTATTATAAAAATTTAAAGAAAATTTCCAAAAAAAAAATTGTTACAATAGTTACGTACATAAATATGTATGTATATATTTTTTTAAAGCTTCCTAACTAATTTTTTTAAGCTTTCTATATGAATTGAATAATATTCAAATTTGTGGTTTGGCATATAGAAACACATAATTATTAAATCATGGGGGAAACATAAGAAATAAATTTTTCAAATAAAGAAAAGGTTTAGGCATAAATAAAATAGTATTTTTATTCAAATATATGTATGAACATTAATGTATTAGAATTGAACATTTTAAAATTTTTTTTCAAAAAATTTGAAATAAAATTTTAAGCAAAAACGTACATAATTATGAATGTATACCTGTTTTTTTTAAACTGTGGGTAAACATATAGGATTGAATTTTAAACATAAAGAAGAGGTTTAGTCAAAAACAAAATAATAATTTATGTATGTATGTAAAAATATGTGTATGAATGTATATATGAATATATGTATGTATGTTTATATGAATGGATTGGAATTTAGCATTTTTTACAGGTTTTCGTTTGGAACAATAATAATAAAATTCTAACTACATACATCAATTCATTCTAGAATACATCAGAACCGCGCCTGGGTGAACATATAGAAATAAATTTCTCAAATAAAGAAAAGGTTTAGGTTAAAATAAAATAATAATTGTATTCAAATATATATATGTACATATGAATGTAATTTTTTTAAATAAAGAAAAGGTTTAGTCAAAAACAAAATAATAATTTTATTCAAATATATGTATGTATATATAAATGTATTAAAATTTAGCATTTTACAGTTTTCCGTTTGGAACAATAAAAATAAAATTCTAACTACATACGTACATACATATATTCTGTATGTACATATATTTTTTAAAGCTTGCTGACGAAACGTAATGTTCAAAACAATAACAAATGAAATATTAATATTCAGATGTCACAAAACATCTGATGTCTGATAAAAGCTGACATTTATTTACGTTAAGATTAATTCGTTTATCCGCAACAAAAATATGTGAGATCATTTTATTTTCAAATATTATTTATTTCTCGGTTTGTGTTTCTAATAATAAAAATAACGTAAAACGTATCATTTATTTCTTGGTTTGTGTTTCTAATTATAAAAAGTATAAAAGAAAAACGTGCTTTTGTTATACAAAAATTTTTTCAGAAAATCTTAAAATAGAGCTATTTCGGGGCTAAAAAGTTCCAATGTCAGATTTTTCTGGGACCCTGGAGGCAAAACTCTATCTAATGCCCTTTGTCCCATGTCTCTCGCCCTTCTAGAAGTACCCGTACTTTTTACCACCTGAGAAGTAGCTATATATATATAATAATAAAAACAGAAGAAAACGTTGAAAAATCGGAAAATAGAGTTTTATAACAACATCAAAAGGCAAACTAAACCATTTCAACCAAGACTGAATAGCTGTAAAAGTAAAAGTGGCGATAGAAAAAGGAAAGATTTTTACAAGGTGGAAAAGCATTGTAACGAATTGTTAAATAAAATTCCAGATGAAATGAATTACGAAGCAGATAATAGCGTGCTATAAATTTATAGTGCGGAGAATATCATTGAAGAGCCATCAGCAGAGGAAGTAGAAGCTGCAATTACAAAATTAAAAAATTGTAAAACTAGTGTAGAAGATTCTACAACATCAAAATTAATTAAATACGGAGGCGAACAATTATACAGGGAACTACATATATTATACAAGTATTTGGAACACAGAAACTATTCCTAATGCATGGCTAGGTAGTGTACTATTTCCAATTCATAAAAAAGGAGGTGAGAGATTATGTGGAAACTACCGTTGAGAATCTCGTGGAGGGCGTTCTGCAAGGGCATTGATGAACTCTCCAGCAGTGCGCCTCTTCCCAGGGTGCTTTCCAAAAAGTATGCTAGCGGGTTGGGCCTAATGGAACGTCCTGATGGCTCCATGACTGAAAACGGAAAGCAGTAGTTGGAGCTTATGGCCTCAACGCACTTTCCTGACTCGGAGATTCTTCGGAATCACTCAAATGCGGTCATTGAAACGAGGGCATCCTGGCCCAGGAGGGATGACTGGCAACGATCCCGTCTAGTCTTCACGATGGGCAGGATTAGATGGGCTGTTCTCTTACAGGCCCTTCAAATCTCCAGGTGATGACGGGATATATCCTGCATTTTTGCAAAGGGGTTTCCAACATATCGCTAGAGCACTGTTGGAAATCTTTCGTGCCAGCTATGCGTGGGGTTACATCCGTCAGGCATGGAGGGTGGCTAAAGTGAAGTATATTCGAAGGTGGGTAAGCGACCAAGCAACCACCCAAGGTCTTTCCGTCCAATCAGCCTTACTTCTTTTCTATCGAAAGCAATATGGAAAAAGTGATTGATAGATCTATACGGGACGATGCACTGAGAAACAATCCCTTGCATGAATCTCAGTACGCCTATCAGTCGGGAAGGTCTACTGTACTCGCTCTGCAGAGTCTGGTGGGGGTCCTTGAAAACTCACTGGAAGTACGGGAGGTTGCAGTTGGCTGCTTCCTTGATATAGAGGGAGCCTCTGACAACACCCCATATCATGTCATCTGTGAGTCGTTGCACAAACGAGGGAGTGATGCGACGACTAGCAGATGGGTTAATCGGATGCTACAGGATAGGATTATTAAGTCCACCATAGCTGACGATATACTCTTCATCTCCGTTGCAAAAGGATGTCCGCAGGGCGGGGTTCTTTCGCCCCTCCTGTGGTCCATTGTAGTGGATGATCTAATCGCTGCTCTCAGGGGCTCCGGGGCGCGCTTCTGGGGATACGCTGACGATGTGGCCTTCGTCGTGCGGGGAAAATTTGAGAGCACTATTTCTGATCTTCTACAGCAAAATTTACGTGTTGTGGAAAGGTGGTGCAAAGGCGTTGAGTTAAATATAAATCCAAGCAAGAGCACCTTGGTCGCCTTCACCAGACGCAGAAGCAGGGACAGATTAACGAGCCCAATTCTGTTTGGTGAACGTATTAGTTACTCGAGGGAGGTGAAGTATCTGGGGGTAACCCTGGAAGATCGTCTCTCTTGGAATACCCATATAGATAAGGTTATCGGAAGAGCTACGGCGGCCTTGTGGACGTGTAGGAGCTTCATCGGGGGAACCTGGGGAATTAGTCCCAGAATAGCACTGTGGCTATATACGGCCCTTGCTAGGCCCATCGTCACCTATGCGTCGATTGTATGGTGCCGTAGGGCTCAGCAGGCGGGTGTGCGGACCAAGCTGGAAATGCTACAGAGGCTGGCCTGCCTGGGAGTGACCGGGGCGATGCGGAATGCTCCCACCGCTGCATTGGAGGTGATGATCGGATTGCCGCCACTGCACCTCCATATATTGAAGGAAGCTCGGCTGGTGACTTACCGACTTCTCTTTGGCGAGGACGGGGCAGGGCTAAAGTTGGCCCACAGAACTCACAGAGACTTCATTGAGGGCGATCCGATTCTAAGAATAACCATGTCGGATACCTGCCTGCCGCGGTACAACTTCGACCACAGGTATAGGGTTCTGTTTCCCGATCGATGGACGTGGGATCAGGATGGTCCGGTACTTAGGTCGGGTTCGAGCGTGTGGTATGCGGACGGGTGCAAAACGGAGTCGGGTGTGGGTTCGGGCGTGTACGGTGTCCGCCCGGACACGCG